TTATGCATTTTGAAGGCACAGGATATGCTTATGCATTGGATATGGAATGTGAGAGAAAGCCAGGTGTCAAGAATGACCTCAAGGTTTTTGACTGAGCAGCTAAAAGGATGGAGTTGCTGATATGGAAATGAGTACTGTGAGAGCAGGTTTGGGAGGCATCAGTCTGGTGATAACTAAGAATGCCAAAATCTCGATGGCTACCTGTATAGGTTTATTTCTTGTTCATAGTACATGTCCCATGTGGGTCAGTTGGAATGCCTTTGCTGTCACTAAGGAACCTTGGTTAATGGAGGCTCTATTTCTATGGAACTCACAGCATTTATAGTTGCCACAGCAGGGAAAGAGAGAGATTGGAGAGTCACCAATGGCTTTTCACTGTCTAGGCTGGAAGGGGTACATGGCACTTCTCACATTAAAATGGCCAGAACAAGTCATATAGCTTCACAATGTGTTGCCATTGATGTGCCCCAAATGAGAAGAGAACTGGATGTTGGTGAACACTCATAAAGATGTCATCCATGTGGGTAAAGATCAAGAGTTTGTGTTTATTAAGATACCTATTATGTATCCAAATGAAAATGCCAGAAAGCAATTAGAGATATAGACTTGAGAGTTCAGGTCTAAACTGGAGATATAATTAGAGAGTCAGTGAGTAAATGGTATTTCAAGCCAAGATTGGAGAAGATCACCTGGGAATAGAGCATAGGTAGAAAAGAAACAGGTTCAAGAGCTGAGCTCTGGGACCCTCCATCATTAAGAGGTCATGACAGCGAGGACTAACCAGCAAAGGCAACATCCTATATAATAAAGAAGTAATATGCAAATTGACTCTCATGCCCTCACTTAAGATGGCTGCCCCCATGTGGTCAAAGACGGCCGCCACAAGATGGTCTGCAGGGGAGGGCAGTTGGGGGCGACTGGGCCTGCAGGGGAGGGCAGTTAGAAGAAATTGGGACAGCAAGGGAGAACAGTTAGGTGTCAATCAGGCTGGCAGACAGGCGAGCGGTTGGGAGCAGCAGTCCTGGATTGTGAAAGGGATGTCCCACTGCTGGTTTAGGCCCAATCCCTCCATAGGGGTCCCAGATTGGAAAGGGTGCAGGCTGGGCTGAGGGACACTTCCCCAAGTGCACAAATTTCTCCTAGTAGAAAACATAATTAGAGGAATGGAAAGAAAACAAGAAATCATGGTATCCTGAAACCAGATGATGAAAGTGTTTGAAGGAAGAGGGTATGATCAGCTATGTCAAATTCTGCTGATTAAATGGCATAAGGTGAATTCTGAGAATTGACCCTTGAATCAAGCTACATGAAGGTTACTGGTAACCTTGGCCAGGGTGGTTTTTGTGGAATATGGGGGCAAAAGCTTGTTTGTAGTAGGTTTAAAGGAAAACAGGAAAAGGGAAGAGAGGAATTAAAGATAAGAGTTATAGACATCATTTTGAGGTCTTTGTGATAAAGGGAATAGAGAACTGAGGTTGTATTTAAGTGGGATGTAGGGTTAAGATTTTTCAGTACAGAAATGACCGCATGTTTCTGTCATGCTGGGATCTGTACAGTAGAAAGAGAGCTGGATGACTTTTATTTTTCTCAGCATCCGATAGTGATGACAGGGTAAGTGCTATGAATGTTTGAGATGAGAGGAGAAACATGCCATTACCGCGGAGCTGAGGAGAGTGGGTTAGCTGGGGAGTATGGTAGCATTGCAGGCAGCACTGAGGATCCCGCTGGGATTTAGTCATTCATTTAAAAAGGGAAGCCAGGCATCATGGTTGTGTGTGTTTTCTTAGCATATTTAGCTTTTTGGTGTAGGAATAGAATTGGCAGATAGTTGGAAACCTGGCGTTTCATTATTCCAGCTAATTTTTTCACCTAATAATAGTGAGATAGAGGAGTTATAAGAGTCAGACTGATTCCTGCTTTGATTTTCTATCACTTTGAAATCATTTGAGGAAAGGGTTTCTTTTGTAATATCAGAGACTGGTGTTAAGGGTGTAAATGTGTCATTTATCTTTTTCATTCTAATGTGATTCCCTTAGGAGCCATAAGGCCAAAAAACCTCTTTGTTCTCAAATGACTTTGGCAGAAGTTCAAAGTTCACTAATTTTCTTGTAATTAATATATAGCAATAAAAAGTGTATTTACATGTTCATTCCTCAGTAGATATTTTACTTGCTAATAAGGTTGAGTTTACAAAAATTTCCTTTGTTTTCTAATATCATTGGTTTAGCTTTTTAAATGTGTGTATGGTGAGTCTTCATGACTATCAAGCATTGGGGAGTAAGATGCAACTTTTCACACATATTGAAAATTGAGCTTCAGAAATGAAGCTTGTGAAGTCCAGTTTGGCCGTATTTTCTGATATGAAATGAATAGACTCTTATACTTATGTCAGATTTGTGGAAGAATATGACCAGCAAGTAAAAATAGTAAGTTTAAGTTTAATGTTTTTCTAAAGTAATGTTACAAAGTAACTGAATATAAGCTTTGCTGAAGTAAATTT